TCCTACTCGGCGAGGTTTGATCAAGATGATGGATTAAAGTCGCAGATGAAGACAACGGGTGAATGTGCGGTGTGTTTAGGTGCGTTCGAGGAGAAGGAAATGGTACGTTTGTTGCCTAAGTGTGGACATGTTTTTCATGCTGATTGTGTTGATACTTGGCTACGAATGCACGTCACGTGTCCTGTTTGTCGGGCTATTCTCTTGCCGGACCACCCTCTTACCGGTGTTGGGAACACGCAGGTGTAAGTTGGTGGTAGAGAACGTGCGATAATTGGTTGTGCCATTACTAAAAAATGCTATAACCAATGAGGTTTTAGCCGAGGGCTAAAACTGCGTGCATGGTATATGACTATATGTGCAAAGTAGTTAGATTTGAGGTCGAATTTGTGATTTACCATTTGTAGATATTTTGTATTTAAATTAGGGATGGTAATCGGTAGGATTTGGGAAGAGTTTAGCAATACCCGGATTCGAAGCGGAATTTTTTTATCCATACTCATACTCTATTCAAAGTCTTATTAGGGTCTAAAATTTTAAAACCCTTACCCAGACCTTGTAGGTCTGAGTAAGGTCCAGCTCCAACCTGGCTCTTTTACCTTATTTTTTTTCCTAAATGTTAATCGTCTAATTTTTGGTTTACAATTGTATCTAGTATGAAAATAAAAAAACTAATATATGAGAATATGACTGATTAATTTGATATAATGTAAAACAATTTATATTAAAAATAAAAAAAAAAGAAAAAATCTAGTAATAGGTTCTAGGTTTTTTTTTTTTACTTATTTGATTTTAAAGCTTTAATAACTGTTAGGTGGTTTATAACTTGCTCTATGAATGATGATTACTTTATTAATGATAGTTCTTTCTTAATCATAGTCTATGCTAATTGGTTGTTTTTATTTTTTATTTAAATGTGTTTATATTGGATTATTTTGTTGTCGATTAATATGTGGTCGGTGATGTCCTATCAACGTTACTTTTAGTAGTTTTATTAGTAATTAGTAGAATGATTAACATCAAGTAAATATCGTAGATATCCTTATTAGACAAATATATTTAAATCAAATACAAAAAAATATATATAATTATTTATTATTGTGCTAATTTTACATTTAATGGGTGTTAAGCAGGTAATGCTTGTAGTATTTTTTAGACACTACTCCATACATTCCTTATTTTTGCTGCACTTTCTTTTTAGGGGTATCACTTTTATTTTGCTCCATCATACACCTTTACAAGTAAATAGCTTAGGGATCATTATTTTCCTCTCACATATAATATTTTAGACCCATCATCATTCTTTCTTAAGAACTTTATACAATCAAAAATTAATAAAATGAACATACACTTATGGGGCAAAAAAAAAGGAGATGAAAGGAGTACAAGGACGTAATTATGACTTTAAGGTTGAGCATTGTACATGTATCAATATTATTCTATTACATTTAGAATTTTAAACTTTCATATATTAGTATCTTATTATTGTTAAGATTTAAAATTATTACAAAGTATGTATCTGATTAAAAAAATAAATGTATCTTAGAAATTTAGAATTATACTTGTAATCTTTTTTTATTTTATTATTTTTTTCATATTTGTTAAATTGAAATAAAATGCTCATAAATGGTAAAACATATCAGATCTTAATTTAAAGCATTTTTGAATACAAATTTTATGATGCAAAAATTACAATTTTGTGAGCTAACGTCTAACATGACATGTTTACGCATTATTACTGTTTGTATGGCGCGCTTGGCAAATTCATGAAATGCCAAGTGTCGATGTTTTTTGACCTGACAGCAGGACTTTATTAGCTAGTGATATATATAATATGATGACATCAATGTGATACTGATATACTATTATAATATCCTTCCTGCCATGATATACCATGATATTTTTCCATAAATGAATCACTTCATATATGAAAATAATCATATAAACCATATATATTTTGACCTGATGTCAAAATTATTTTGCATCAATTGAACAACAACCAAATATCACCATTAAAAGAAAATATATATTAGAACAGGGGCGAGCCTATAGAAGATTATTCATTTTTATTCATATACCAAGAAAATGAATGGATCATCCGCCATGTTTTTTTTCCTACTTTATCACCTTATACGTTTTCTTGTGTATGCTCTCAGCCCTACTAATTTACGCCATTATGCATCGTTATTATCGAATTTGCTTTGGTCATCCTAACCTTTCTACGAGGCCCACAATCTCCCATCAACCACGACAAGGCCTTGAGGCTTCTGTCATTGATGATCACTTCCCAAAGTTCACCTATCTGAATAAGTCTATGGATACAGATATAAATATAGATATAGATATAGATATAAATACGAAAGTGAAAATGACAGGGGAGTGTGTAGTATGTTTGGAGGTGTTTGAGGAAAATGAAATGTTGCGTTTGTTGCCTAAGTGTGGCCATGTATTCCAAGTAGATTGCATTGATACTTGGTTGCGTTCCCATGGCACTTGTCCCTTTTGTCGAGCTAATTTAGTCGTGGTTGGCGATGGTCCTCCCCGAGATATGCCTACTAGGGCTGAAGTTTCAATTGATGGCAATCACCAAAGATTGGGTATGGTGCCAATAACACCATGGTTCTAAATTGTGTGTTTCTTCAACGAATCGGGTATAAGCCTTAGCTTGCTTTAGGGAATGAGTATGCTTGTTAAGACCCAATTCGATCATTAGCAATTTATTGAAGGCTTGATGAATACATTGAAAGTTATCATCAAGAGCAAATTGATTGATAAGATCATATCTCTATGGTAGTGTAGCTAGCAAGGTTAATCTTTTTTTATTTTATTTTATTTTATTTATTTATTTATTTTTTTTTTTTTTGGACACCAAAGCTAAGCTAGCAAGGTTAATCTTAATTACCATATGTGTGGATACTACATCTAAGCACAAATAAAGTAAGATAGATTAATATTCTATGTGACGCATAAAGTTCTTTTTCTTAATTCTTCCTTCGTTCTTATATTATTATTCGCATCTGGTTAAATTTTTTTTGAGGGCAAAACGTATCTGGTTAAATTTGAATAGACATATAACAATAAATATTAAATAAAATGGCAGATTGTTTGAATTAAGAAAAAAAATTGAGTATCTATTATTCCGTAAGAGAGAAGGCTCCATTTGGTTTGATGTAAAATGATTTTTCCAATTTTTTTCATTTTTTTGTGAAGAGGCGGAAAACAATTTTCCCAATTAATAGTGGAAATTTGCATTTTTAATGATGGAATACATTTTCCTTTACAAAACAAGCTAAGGGAAGCCACATTTTCCTTCCTCTTTGTTCCTTACCTCCTTTTACTTTCCTCTCATCCATCCTTACATTTATACTCCTATTGTTAATTTCTCCATAACTTTTCTTGTAAGGAACCAAACAAAGGAAAATTTATTTGCAAAATGTGAATTTCCTTAAAATATGTTTTCTATAAAAACTAACTTTTCACTGAAAATGTTTTACATCAAACAAAACAAAGCTTATAATCCCAATCAATTAACATTAGGGGTGAGCAAAACGGGTACCCGGTCAAAATTTTAGGATCCGGACTCGGAATTGGTTGGGACCGGGTCCTAAAATTCGGAACCAGAATGGAAACTGGTACAACCGGGCCCTAAAATTTAGGAATTGGAATTGGTTCCACCGGGTATCAGTTCCGGTTTCGGGTACCAACTTATATACATACTTGTTAAAATATAATACAAATCATAATATTTTTTGGTTTATTTTCATTTTTAGCGTTTAATACTTATATTTTTATATGCATTGAGCTATTTTATTTATGTAAGACATTAATATTTTTTATTATTTTATTAACTAGATACATTCAACATATTTTTTTTTAGTTAAATATATGTTGGGTAACCGGGTATCCAACCGGTTTCGGTTACAAAAAATTGAGAATTGGAATTGGAACCGATTGCAACCGGGTCCTTAATTTATTACCCGGAATTGAAACCACTGGGTCTAATTCCGATTCCGGACCCGCCGGTTCCGGTTCGAATTCTGGGTACCCGAAATTTTTGCTCACCCCTAATTAATATAGATTCATAGGTATATATGATATGAGAGAGTAAATTGATTTCAAAAAACATATATATATATATATATATATATATATATATATATATATATATATATATATATATATATATATATATATATATATATTAGAGTAAATTTAAATTTGTCCATCAAGAATTTTTCTAGCCTAAATGTATGCTTGTCATAATCTCATATCCTTCCAAGGTTGGAATGGATCATCACCCATAGAGAACGACATTGATAATAACCTCCAATCCTCATCAATCTTGGCCACCCAAAAAACGATGGATCCTCATTCTGCGACTGCTTCTCATTGTCTTCTCCAACTTCTAAACGGCGTCGTTTGTGACTTGTGATCCCTCATGCTGGAGTTGTGACTTTATTTTAGTTACAAAAAGCACTGTGATCTGCCTTACTAGCTAGTATATACTACCCATGTATCAACGTAATCAGCATAAAAAACGCGGTCGCAATTAGATGTATGTAGTACAAGTATATCAAATTGCTAGATTTAATTTCCTAATTTTGGTCCTTCGTTATATAAAACACGAAGAATTATCGGTATTCTTATACAATGAAATAACGAAAGACTTTGATGAGACATAACATGGACATACATATCAAACATGTAATTAACGTCTATTTGTTGAAGAACTTAGAAACTTGTATATTCTCTAAATTCTTTGGTCATGTTAGTTCTACATCCAAACAAAGACAAAATATTTTGAATATGAAGATTTTCTTTTTGTTTTTCTTTTTCAAAATATCAAAATAGTTTTTCGTGATATTTTTCAAATAGATTGTCATGATATCTTTATGAATCATTTGACCACCAGACTAACAAAAATAACATATATACTTCGGATACATATATACATTTTTGAAATATACTCCGTATACATATATAAAAAAAGAAATATATTGCTTTTCTTTTTCATTTTTTTTTTCTTTTTTTCTTTTTTTCTTTCTTTTTTTTTTTTTAACTTTTTGGTAAGCAAAAATTAGAATTTACATGGCATTAATTACCAACAATGTATTTGGAGTACCCTTTGAGCCAAGACAAACCAAGATCCCTCAGCTCCAGCTCAAATCATTTGTAAGCTTAGACAGGCAATTGATTCAACTCGGCTTGTATATCATTACACAAAGAAATTTCACGACTTGTACTTACATTCTCTAGGCTAGAACAACCACCCATAGAGCTACCTCGGCTGCGAGTTGGTCTAGTGGCCTCACCATCAAGAGACTTCAAAGACCGGGCTGGAGTTAAAAAAGGCGGTGTCAACGAAAACCCCCACTGACCGGACCGGCGAGCTCGACCTCTAAGACTACCAAACAACCCTCTTGTACCATTTCTCTTTTGCAACTTTCCGCTCATTATTTGCTTCCTTACATCATCCGGTAATCTTAGGGTAAATCTTTCCGTATTCTCCAACTGTTTTACCTCCACGTGTCCAGTCGATAACGATCTAACCAATTTACCAAACCATCTTGGCCGTCCAAATGATAGGCTCCTCATCATCGTACGGCTCCTCCTTATTCGTCCATGTAAATGCGGTCGCTCCATCGAATTATTTTCTTCATTATTCTGATGGTCGTTACTCTCTCTTACTTCATCCACCCTTATAACGACGTCGTTTACTAGAGTTTGTTCTAAAACGACGTCGTTATCAACTTTTTCAGCAAGGTTACAACGACAAACGGGACAAGTAGTGTGACCTACAAGCCATGCATCAATACATTCAGGATGAAACACATGGTCACACCTAGGTATCAAACGTAAAGTGTCATCGTCCTCGAACTCCATAAGACATACGGCGCATTCCAGCGCGCCTTTCCCAATCTTCGCGGCCTTAACAGCCGCGTAGTCCAAAATCGGGAAGCCCTCGATGACTTCCACGTCTAGCCCACGCGATCGCCTCAATGAATTAGACCGTGTGACCACATTGTTGTCCGTGGACGTGTCGGTGGTACAAAACCGGATTAAAAACCCGAAAATTGCAATAAAAAAGAAAACAGCCACAAGGTTTAAAATAATCGATAAAATGGATGGATGGGAATCATGTCCGTCATAGGGCGAGTCCGAGTTAGACTCGGGCTTGCCCGTCTGAGCTCGAGTAGGTTGGCTCAGGAGGAATAACAAAAGGATGGAGGAAAGAGTAGTAATGATAGTCATTCCGAAGTAGAGAACTTCAGAAATTTAGGAGAATTTACATCTGAGCACAGAAAATGAAGACAAAGAGGACGAAATAGAGATAGGAATTTAGCAAGGGGTAAGCTAATACGGGTAATTTTGATGTTATAATAATTAAAGATAGTGAAACAAGATTACTTAGTCAAGAGAAAGGTACCATAATATGGATTAATTAATATCGTGATGCCAACATAGAATTTTAGTAATCCTGTCATTTTAGTATGGTCGGCCCAAGTATAATTGAGAATTAGTAAATAATTTGATTATTTTTTTCCAAATGAATTGACACCATCAAGAATTGACTACATGAATGTTACTAGTGTCTGTTTACATAATATAGAAAATATCCTATTCTATGTAGCCGTTGCATATATGCTAGATGGTGCAACTAAGAAATTAACCATAAATAATCAATTAAACAATTTTCTAAAACAAGTTGTTTAATAATTTCCAAAATTCCCCTTTTTCCGAGACTATGATAAAATGGTTCCATAGTTACATGATGTAATCGTTGTATATGCATGAGAAATCTTATTGTGCATAGAATTACATATATTACTCAATAACATTACAAGCTAGATTTTCTCTAAAACAAAATAATAATATTAATAACAATACAAGCTAGGTTTTTTTAAAAATGTTAAATGTACTTAAAATGTTCAATATTTTATGAAGTTTAATGTAATGTAGTTTTGTACGGAATAATATTTCCCTCAAAACTGTACAATTTGGTGTTTGGTTAAGAGTATTTTTTTGGATCAAAAAGAATTGTTTGACCATGACAAAAGGCTCTTTGGGATGTTCGGTTAAGAGTTTTTTGGTTGTTGTATATATACTCTAAAATAACTAATAACTAGTCAAAACAGTTAATACAAACCGCTAATTACCAATTTATCAAAGCAGCTACCATTTACCAACTAATATTGGTGACACTAAGTGTGCTGTTGTTGCAGCATCACACCAAGTCTGTGCTCCAGATCCTACATGCCAACATGAAGCAACAAGTGAGATAGCACGAGCTCTATCTTCTCTCCTTATTACAGCAATTCTAGAAGCTCCTAGATGATTCTAGATCAACCTAGAAGTTTCTCCTCAACCTGCTGGATTTGCCAGCTCAACATTACTCTAACAAAATTATGATACAACAGAATTCTGTTACACTTTGTAACTAACTTTATTCTTTTGTAAATTCTGTTAGAGTTGTATTATAAATAAAGGTTTAGTGCTGTAATATTAATTCATTCAATATAAAAAAAAAATTCTCCTTGATTAATCAAATTCTCTTCTTCTATTTTTTCTTTCTCTAAAACTAGAAATTAGTTCATCAAAACTTAGAAGAAATCTACTAAATTCCAGATTTTAACATGGTATCAGAGCTCAAGTAGCTCAATTCTGATTGTTTATTGCTGTTTTTCTAAGCTTCTGCAATCTTTCTTAGCTTGATCTTCAGGAATTTTTCGCCAGACTGCATTTGATTTTGAGGTATCAAATTTTTCTGCAAATTTTGATTCAGTTTTTCTCCTGCAATTCTACCAGAAGTAGTTTGATTACAGTTTATAGCTGATTGATTAGTGTACAATTTGTTCCTTTCTTAGAAGAATCATCATTATTCTTCTTAGAACTTGTTTGTTGATTGTTGAAATTCAAACAAATTTAGTAACCAGTGCACATGCAATCTAACTTAGAAGATTTTCAAGCTGCAGCAAGACTAGAGATTGTTGCAATTTTTTATGAAGCTGAATGAACACTATGGTGTAGTCAGAGGCAACATCTTGATGATGAGTCCTCTGCCGAACTTGAGTCAAGCTTATAGGTTATTGATTCAAGAGGAAAGGTACAAAGAACTTAGCACTATGCATATTGCTAATCAAGGCTCGAGTGATTCCATGGTTTTTGCTTCAACCATGAAGTTCAATGACAGATTACAGAACAAAGGTTTCAAACCTCAAGAATATAGATCTAGCTGTCAAGCTGAAAACAATCTTACAGTCATGACAGGAGACAGGAAACCTGTACCAACTTATTGCAATAATTGTAACCGACCTGGTCATTCTATTGACAATTGCTGGAAATTGCATGGATATCCTAAAGATTTTAAGAGAAATGTATGGCATAAAGGGAGAGGAGTAGCAGCTGTTGCACAAAAAACTGAGCCTACCTTTAATGGAGCTGCAGAAGGTCAGACTAATCAAGTCAAAGGACTTGTCATCACAATGGATCAGTATAATCACCTTCTGGAGTTACTAGGCAAGCAGAATACAGATACTGCAGCTAACCAGGCATCAAACGCTAATGTTGATGCTCAGGCTAATCTGGCAAGTAAATTCCGTTTTTCATCTTGACTAAATGTTGGTTGGTTGATTGACAGTGGTGCTACAGACCATATGTGCACCAATTTAAGCATGTTCACTTCCTATAGAAAGTTAACAGGCTAAAATAATACCATAACTATCCCATATGGAAGTATGGTTGAAGTTCTACCTATAGGCGCATTTGTTGTCAATAATGCTATACATCTGACTGATGTATTACATGTTCCTGCTTTCAATTTTAATCTGCTTTATGTTCCCAAACTTTGCAAGGATATGAATTGTGTAGTTTTATTCACATATATTGCATGTTTTGATCAGGGCCTTTCACAGAGTTCAATGCTTCTTGGTAATCAACATGCTGGTTTATATTACATTGAAGATCAGAAGTTGCCTACAAGTAGTGTTTTGTCTAGTCAAGTTTCTAAGTCTTGTAATAATAATAGTTGGAATCAAGCAAGTAATGCCACTAAGATAGCAAAATTATGGCATCTTAGGTTAGGCTATTCACCTTTTCATAATTTCAAGCATATTTTGCCTTGGCATATCAAAGATTCTACTGATAGTTTCTTGTGCAAAATTTTTCCTGCTGCCAGGCAGCCTAGAAAGTCTTTCTTTAAGAGTTCAATAAAGTCATGTAAGCCTTTTGAGCTCAATCATATTGATGTTTGGGGTCCTGTTACGGATCAAACTTATAATGGATACAATCTATTCTTGACTATTGTTGATGATTACACCAGATATACTTGGATTCATTTGCTCAAATTTAAGAATGAAGCAGTTAACGTCAGGATCAATTTTGCACAATATGTTCACACTCAATTTAACTCTAAAATTTTATGTGTGAGGTCTGATAAGGCCTTGGAGCTGAATAAAGGCCCAATGAAGCAATTCTACATCAAACATGGCATTGTACATCATACTAGATGTTCTGACACACCACAACAGAATTGAGTTATGGAACGCAAGCATAGACTTTTACTAGAGACTAGAAGAGCTCTCAGTTTTCAGTCTAAGCTTCCAAAAAGATTTTGGGGTGAGATAGTTCTGTGTGTAGCATTTTTGGTGAATAGAATGCCATTGAAAAGCATCAACTACTGCACACCTTTTAGAAACTTCATAACACTCAAGCATCCTTTGATAGCCTGAAGTTGTTTAGGGTAAAAAAAAACCCCAATATGTGGTCCAATCCTAAGGCGACACGTGGCCCAATAAAAAGGGTGTCATGTGTCCTAATAGGAAGGAGACACGTGGCAGAACACAAGAGCACCTGAAAGAGAGAAGGCCTCCTTACATCAGGAGGCCCAAATCCCGAGATAAGTCGTCTGGACATATTCACGACCTGTATCTCAAGGGATTCCAAAAAACCCTGAAATATTTGGCGCCGTCTGTAGGGATACACGTCTGAAATGGCTAAAGATGGTCAGACACCCGAACCTGGTCAGGACGCACATGTAAAGAATATTGAGGTTATTATCAACAACAACGATCCTCTGATCGCCTCGTTCCATGAAGCCGAGGATCCTCCTGTGACGACCGGCTCTTTGCAGGTTGCTTTTGCCAAGCTCCGAAAGGAGTTTGAGGGCAAGATACCCTCTTCTTCTAGGAATCCGCCCAGAAAGGAATGAGAGGGCTCCAAAAAGAATCCCCGGGAAAGGCGACTAATATTGTGGATGCGGAAGCTACCCCATTCAGGAGGCAACTGAAGTCCCTTAGGGTGCCTCGGGCGAACTGGTCAAAGCTGCTTGAGAAATCGAAGTCGGCTGGGGGGGCATACCAGGCAGCCAAATGAGCCATCCCAGCGTTGGAAGGATGCTAGGGATTATCTCAGGCAAAAATAGCAGGAGGGGGTCGACCAGTCATACTACTTGGACACGGCTTCCACTCCCACCATGTTGGATGGATTATCACACCATACCCTCTCCAAGCATACCAACTCGGGCAGGACCAGTAGAAGTCAAGCCCATCACACTCAACCTCCTGTTCCTCTACATCGTTCAGCTCAATTTCAAGTTCCCCATAATTATGGTGCGAATATGTCGCCTATTACCCCAGTGTACGGGCAGTATGGTCGGTCGTACGACCAGATGGAATACCTGGACGGATCGGCCGCTCAACCTCAGCCTATTGGTTGGCAAATGCGTTTGTTGACCCGAGGTGACAAGCCGCCTCCGTTTTCTCACGAATTCTCAACTCTTCATATCCAGCGAAAGTGAAAAATGTACTTGTGGGTGCTTATGATGGTACGGGCAGCCCTGAAGAGCATTTCTCCTCGTACAGGAATTTGATGTACTTGTAAAATGTGGATGATGCCACTTGGTGCAAATGCTTCTCGTCCACTCTCAAGGGTGTGGCCCAAGACTGGTTTAACAGTCTCCCGACCGGGTGCATAAATTGTTTCATAACTTTAAGTTTGTTGTTCGTTGGAAACTTCTCCTATAACATACCACCCCGAAAGACTAGTTTTAACTTGGCAACTATTGTCCAAGGAAAGAAAGAGGCGCTGCGTTCGTACGTCCAAAGGTTTAACATTGAGAAAGCGCAATTCCAAAATTTGCCAGATGAAATGGCCTACTTAATTAGAGTTCCTTCGAGGACTAAGGCACATGGTTCAAGTTTGATCTAATCAGGAAAAAGATTCGGACATACGCAAGTGTTCTCCGGGAGGCCGAATCATACATCGAAGCAGCTGATTTTTGTTCGCTTACAAAAGCTGAAGAGCCGGCCAAGGGCGCCGAGAAGAAACCTTCTTCTCAGGAAGACTCGACCGGCAAAAAGAAAGAAGGAAAAGAAAAAAGATGATGATGGAAATAGTACAGATTCAGGGTTTGTGGCCG